AGCGGCAGTAATAGATATGAGTGTGGTGCGTGCTGCGATTTATGATTGACCGCGTCGATTAAGGGCATGTATTCAAAATAGGGGAGGTCATTTAGAATAATGTAAATAAAATTGTATTCTAAATTAAATTATCTTTCATTTCATATATAAATTCTATATAATTATCAAAAAGTGTATAATTTATTTTATAAAAAGTTTTTGACAGAACTTATGACATGACTAAATATATAGATTAAGGTCCACGTAAAATATTAAAAAAATTTACTTTTAGTAAAAAGTAAAAGCCGTTAAAGATCTTAAAAAATAATATAATTTTACATATTAAAGTCTGAGCTTCAATTCTTATTATCCTATATTTCTTATTCAATATAATTTGTTGCCCACTGTCGCCTCTTACGACACCCACGGGATGATATGTGGTAGTGGATATAATTACACCGCCGTTACACGGTAATGTGTGTGTTCTTAAAATTTGTATACCTATTTTTTATTGTTCCCGTCCTGTCGATAAATGTTCGGTTTTAAATTTAATAGTATACAAGCACACCAAATTCAATTCCCCTCCTCCTCCCCGCCGTTACTGAATTGTAACTTGAAATTTTAGTGCCTGTATCTACCACTAGGTGGTGACGAAAAATATTGTGAGAAAATCTGTATGTCTGAGAAATAATAAAAATCGTCGGTAGTTGTACAACACGCGAGCACTGCTCTTCCAAGGAGAGAGCAGGCCTGTATCTAATTGTGGGACGGATCCAGGCTGTTAATACCCTAGCATAGCTTAAAAGAAATAAAAAAGTGTAATTTGAATACATATATGCCCATTTTTTGTGAAAAAAAGGATATTAATCTCAAAATAAGTAAAAAATTATTAACATCTTGATAAACATTTCGGGTATTTATTCAATAAAAATAATTTCATTATAAATAAGAGCCGCGCTGTAAGTTCCACAGGTCGCTAGCAACCTGATTTCGATTCCCGCCGACACATTGTTAACGGCAATTAAAAATACCGAGTTACCACGTATTCGACGGCGGAGGATAAGTATATATATATTTATACTTTTTTTTACAAATATTACCTCACAATAAGAAATGAACAAAGAAAGCAGCGTTGTCAACTCTGAGGACTAAGATGGAATGCCTCGCAACCAGTGAAAAGGATCTCCAGTTCTCTACACTCACACTATACGAAACACAGCAGCATTAACCCATTCGCTGCACCGTGTACTACATATAGTTCATTGCTATTGTTTTACTATTGTGTCTGAAAATTGGACAAAAGAAAGTGTTAAGTTGCTATTTTACGCTGTAATTCTGTGAGAGCGTGATCTTACCCCGGTCGAGCAGACCAATTCATGCTACAAATCATAATATAGCTACATTGTGGCTGTACCACGTACAAACATTGGTTTGTGCCTTTTATATATATACATGGATGGGCCTCCATGTATATCTCTCACTTCTGAGAGAGTTTTTGGAGCAATCCAATGTACTTGGCGTAAAGTACTATTACTGACTTTATTGAAAGAGCAAGTTGAAACCGACGTAGTGGCGGTGTAAGAATATCCACTAAGCAGCATTTTCCTGGTAACAACTCAGTACCACATGCCGTGGTAGCTCAGATAGTTAGCGCTCGCTGTAAGTTTTCACAGTACGCGAGCAACCCAGCTTCGATCCCAGCCGACACAAATGAAATTGTTAATTGAATTTTGAATCATTTTATGAGCTGATTTACCACGTGCTCGGCGGTGAAGGAAAACATCGTGAGGAAACCTGCATGTCCGAGAAAAAAATATATTTCTTATATTTATATTTCGAATACACGTGAAGTTCGCCAACACGCATTTCATTTCACGGCGGACATTTCCTTGCCCTAAAACCCTCTCAGAAATGAGAGGAGCCCTGTGCCCAGCAGTGGGACGTATGTAGGCTGTAACTTTAAGTAACTTTTAACTTTAAATCAGTTATTATAAAAAAACTACGGTAGGCAACACGCTTGCCAAGCGTGGTAACTATCGCAAAACCCTTCCTATAAGGCAATATATGGGGGAGGCCTATGTTCGGTAGTGGAATTTGATAGGCTGTAACGGTAACATGTCAACGGACACATGTCTTCGAAATATTTTTTTTAATTTCTCAGATATGCAGGTTTCCTTACGATGTCGGCAAAGTCGGCATTCATCGCATAGGATTAAATTTCAAATCATATTTATATTGTAAGTTTATATAAAATTGATCGTTATACTAAATATATATATATATAGTATTTTTTATCGAATACGGTCAATAACATGAGAAATCAAAATGCTGTTGACACATGATTATTAATTGTTCTTTGTATGGCAGCGGAAGGCTTGTGAGTTGTTTTGAGGAGCAGAACAATATAATTTGTCATCGATGCCTTGAGCCTACGATGTAGCTGACGATATATTGGCTTTATATAACTTTTTACTAAAATAATGTGTTTTTTTTTTAATTCAAAATTATGAATAGCTCTGCAAAACCAGCAGAGCCCGCTAGTTACGATCTCGTGCATGTTTATTTAGTTACCTCCAACGTTAAGCTACCAATTCCAAGAAACCCGTATCGGGAGTCACGTACGCGTAAGATTGGCTAAATCTCGAGCGTTAAATGTAATAACATAATGTTCTATATGAATTTGTAGTTCGCTGGAGATTTATAGATATGTCAAGATAATTTTATGTACTAAAACATAATTTAAATAGAACAATGTACGATGTATGAACTACTATTCTCTTACTTTTTTATCGAATTAGGGCAAACAGGCGCCAAAAAACAAACGAGCTTGATTGTAAGTGGAGCTGTGGCTCATAGACATCTTTGATTATATATCTGTCATAGATATTTAGATTTATCTGTTGTTACCTAGACTCAGACTAATATGTAATGCCTCATTTCCAGTAAAAACGTTCATAAGTTCTCTACACCCATTATACGAAACACAGTAGGTTTTCTATCACGCTGGTATTATGTGAGAGCGTGGTCTTTTCTCGGTTGAGCTGACCCATGCGTGCATTCGTAATACAGCTGCAGCATGGCTCTACCACGTAAATAAATTAATACTTGTCATAACTAATAAAATCATCTATTATTACTGTTTCATAGCAAAAAGGCATACTGTATTACAGCTCGTATAACTTAGTTTAATCCATTTACTAGTGGAATGAGAACAACGCTTATGACGTTTTAGCTCGCTACATTAAAGTATCTTTTGCGGTTGATGGATTGCTATTTGCTATCGATGTAGATTTATAAAAAAACACACAAAATATTACAACCCACAACAGTATGAACAAGTAACAAATGTAAGAAAACTAAACATAGCTTTTCTATAGTAGTTGGTGTTTTTTTAGGTTATTTGATAATTGAAAGATCAGTGTTGAAGATTTACAATATTGAGATGCATGGTTGGGATAGAAAAGATGAAGATGAAAGTAGGTGGCTGTGGGCCATGAAATCATAACATCATGTGAATTGTTTGCTTGTTTGTGACCCTCAATATAAAAAAGTATGTACATAGTGGCCACGTTTGGCAGATTGGTTTGTAGACAAATAAACTGGTTAAGATTCAACATTATTAACATCACAATTACAGCCCTTTACAAGTCCACTGCTGAACATAGGCATCCCCCAATGAATTCCACAAAGGAGCTTAGGACCACCTGATTCATCGACTTCCTACATGTCTTACTAGGTTCTCACTCTATATAGCGAGTGGCTTTGTCATATCTCCTCAGTTTTAAGGTACTCCCCTTGTTGACTGTGACGTGCAGTTTCGTAGTCACTTGAAAGGGAAGGCCAATTTGGCCTCTAAAAATCTTGGCGTGCTCAGCAGAGCGGGACAGTATTTCATGCCAGCACACCGCCTGCAACTTTACAATCGGTTCGGCCTCGCGTGAAATACTGTGCCCATCTCTGGGCAGGGGCTCCCCAGTGCCAGCTCCTTTCACTTGACCGCATCCAGTACAGAGTGGTTCGAATCGTCGACGACCGAGTTCTTTCCGATCGGCTTGACTCACTGACACTGCGTAGAGATGTTGCATCTCTTTACGTATTTTATCGCATGTACCACGGGGGGTGCTCTGAGGAATCGTTCGGACTAATTGCAGCCGCTCAATTTGAAAAAACTCGCGATACCATCCATATCATCTGGATGATTGGCGGCCCACCACTGTGCGATCTAGAAGATGTTTTCTTCCTCGCACAAGTTCCTTATGAAATCGATTACCACCAGTGATTTTTCTAGACCGATATGACTTAGAGACCTTCAAGAAAAGAGCCTACTCATTTTTAAAAGGCCGGCAACGCATCTGCAATTCCCCTGGTGTCGTGGTTGTTCATGGGCGGCGGTAGTTACTTACCATCAGGTGAGCCGCATGCTCATTTGCCCCCTCTCCTATAAGTAAGCCATATAACTCGAAAAATCGACAACCGACGTTGAAGAAAGGTTTTCGAGTGGCAGCCCAGTACCGGTAGGTAAAGTGTAGGGTTAACATTGATAATTAAAATTCAAGTAATTTGAAGAGGCATTATTAATCATTTTTCGACACGTATCATGTACTCGGTGTGACAAAATTAAAAATTGCAACTGAGCTCGTTTGGTTGGCGTTCTATAACACGTCGTGTTGAAATCGGATCGTACATCCAATGTAATAGTAAGATGATCACAGGAATCCACTGTTGGACACTATAGATAATAATGACATGTTCCCGCGGCTGCACGTGTGTAGCACGATTGAATAGCAGAATCAAATATTTTGCCAATTCGAGCAGCTCAGTTTAATATAGAGAGTAAAGTGATACGGCTTTATACGCGTGCCGCACTTGCCCGGCTACATTACACGTAACAGTAATATTGTATTCGTGCTTCACAGCCGACTTAGTTTAGTGCATCTATATTGCTTTGATTACCACGATGTTTTCTATAAAGTAGAGTCTTTTTGAATGCAAATGTATAAAAATATTGAAATGTTTGCTAGGTTCGTCGCCGTACGACAACCGGATCTGCATCCAAGAGAACAATGGAGCCGATACGTCCAATTCCCATAGCGTCAAAGGCGATGAGGAGCTGTCTCGTGTTTACCAGACTCTTACGATGCCCGCACTCACCAGGGATGACACAACTAATTCCAATAACAGGTTTGTATACCGATAATAATCTATACATTTTGTAAGAAATTCATTTAAGATAATTCTACCACGCTTAAATATTTTAAAGTAAAGGTTAACTCAGCTATTGCGACATGTAATATTTTAAATTATTTAGTGCAGTTATATTGTTTATTGGTTTCTTTCTTTGTGAATTTATCAATTAAAACAGAGTTTAAACAATGTTTAACGTATCAACTTCACAGTAACGATGCGAAAAGTAAATCGAAGTCAACAACTCCAGCCAGCCCTGGAAGTTCCTCCGAAATGAAACCGCAGTCAACGACTCCAACTTCCCAGGCTCTAACCAAGCCACCGTTCTCTTACGTAGCTTTAATAACAATGGCTATAGAAAACAGCCAATCTAAACGGGCGACGCTTAGTGAGATATATGCGTATATAACAAAAGAGTTCCCGTTCTTTGAGAAAAACAAGAAAGGATGGCAAAATTCTATTCGACATAACTTAAGTTTGAACGAATGCTTTATAAAAGTGCCACGGGAAGGTGGCGGAGAGAGAAAAGGAAATTATTGGACTCTTGGTAAGTTCTTCAATACATCATTACTGTATATAATAAGTATATCTCATCCTCCTATATCTGTGTCGTTGATTTTAGCATTGCGAACGTAGCTCGCGTATTCACCCATCATTACATGACTTAAGCGAAATGCTGGCGCTTATATTCTGTGCGTTAGTTTAGATTAACGTTTACTTTTGGGTGGTCAGATGAGTGTTGTTTTAGATCCGCAATGCGGGGAAATGTTCGAGGGTGGCAACTATAGGCGGCGACGAAGGATGAAGAGGCCTTTCCGTGCTACACCGTACTCGAAAACGTTGTTCGGTGATGGATACCACGTGGCACACGTGGCGCAACATGCGCATATGCAGCCGCTTCCGTTGGGAGCTAGGAATTACTTCGGTTCCAGCTCGCCGTATCCTCCGTCCTATCCTCGATATGACACGTAAGTTTTAATAATTCATATTTTTCCACTAATTCACAGAACATTTTAATATTTTTTGTACCTAATATTAAGTTACTTCTCTATGACAAGTCATAAGAAATAGTTTTAAGGAAATGCAACATTACCTAATTATTTCTGCTTTATTTCCTAATTTCTTATTTCTTTTTATGTTTATTTGAAGTAATTTACTAATGCTGCTGAACATATCATCTTAAGATTTAACGAAATAATTACAATACATTTTTATATCATTGGACTTGTTATTGAGACCTTGTGATGATAACCCCTGAAATTAAATTTAACTTCTGCTTTATTATTCAGTGGTTCTGGTGCCTGGTATTTGATGAATTGTTTATATTTAAAGATTAAAAAATTGTCTGTGATAACCAACCGCATTAAACATGTTTTTAGTATTATTGTGTTTAGTTATTCTTCTTTTCGGCCGGACTTATATCGTTCTAATCTTATATTCGTTATTCAAATTATAGTATTTATAAATAAGCAGTGTCACATTACTACAAATTAATTATACTAAATATTTACGTTTCACATTCTTATGTTTACAAAACATACGTTTATGATATATTGATATGTTCGTACACAATTCTCATTTTCCGTTCCTGTTGCGGTTTTCATCTTGAACTACAAACGATTATGTCAATGACGTGTCATAACATTGGTGCTGTTTTTATCTGCTCAGGTATATCTATACATGACCTTATTTCCAACGTGCGTTATATCTGCACTTGGTAACAGATTGCAAATGTGCGAAAGTACATATTATATTATTGCATTAACCAATGACCACATAACATCGATGAATTTCCCCAGACAAGAGGTTAAGTTATTATTTTATCTGAATTAATACAAAGTTTGAATCTAAAATAATGTGCTATTTTTCGTGTCGTTGATAACTTTTTAATCATATTCATCGAACCTATTTGTAAATGATATGTTATGATATATGAGTTTTTAGTCGGATCGTAAAACGTGATACTTGCCGGTAGAATGTTTACAAGGAAAATTTGGCTTATACTCGTATTCCGAAATCGAGTTTCAAAGGCAGCGACTTGGCAGTTCGATCTATTAATGGCAAACAATCGGTGAGAGGCTGCGGTGCGCCATTGGCCACACGCAGGTGGGATGGGCGGAGTTTGTTTACTTTATCTCTACCTATTTATTCACTACAGCTCATGAGATCTTGTGGTTTTCCGACCGGTTTTACACGGGTGGCTTAAAATTTCGAACGCGGTCTTTAGTCGTTGCTATGTCAACAGAAATTCGGAGAATGCGTAAATAAAACCAGTGAAATCAAAGTAGTGTTACATAATCAATTTTAAGTTGTTATTCTGTAAATTTAAAAATAGAGATGTAGTTATTTAAATTGTTTAAGTTGCGATACACTGCTAATAAAGACGTAAAGTAGGCTAGGCAGAGAGACAAGATTCAACTATAAATTGTTGTCATTCAAATGTTTGAAATTTATCAAGCATATACCTTTTGTAAATTTTCCTCACCAACGAACGATATTAAATTAGCACATAATATAAACAATTTAAGGGGTGGCGGAGATCGAACTCGAGGTTTTTTTATAGAATAAGGGTTGCAAAGGAGTACACAGTCGAACTCATGGTAAGTGGATGATGTGACCCAAAGACATTTACATCCATCCCCTATTATCTATACAAATAAATAAAATTGAAGTGTCGGTTTGTAATGTCAAAATTACATCTTTTTTACTAAATGCATATGTAATTAAATACGGTATTTATAACTAAAATACAATTTTTAAAATTTTTGTCTGTCAGTCTGTTTGTTCCGGCTAATCTCCGAAACTGCTGGACCGATTTTGACGGGACTTTCACTGGTAGATAGCTGATTTAATAACGAGTAACATAGGCTACTTATATTTTAGAAAAAGAATTTGGGTTCCGCGCAAAAACATAAAAAAACCCTAACACGCGAGCGAAATCGCGGGAAACAGCTAGATAAGAATAAAAATGCAGATGGGTTGTCACTCCTGGGAACTAAGATAGAATGCCTCGTTTCTAGTAAAAATGGTCTCCAGTTGTCTAAACTCACCAGACAAAACCCAGTATTATTAAGCTGCTATTTTACGCCGGTAGGTACTTTGTGAAAGCGTGGACCTTCCCCGGTCGAGCCGACCTATTCGTGCTACAATTATGTAGCTGCAGCATGGCTCTATCACGTATAAAATATGTAGATGTTTGCGAACTGTCAAATTTAAGGCAAGCGTTCAAATTTTGGGTTGTCACGGCTCTAAAAGGCCATTGAAAATATTATTGTATAAAATCGTTATACTTTTCAGTACGTGGCTGACCCAACCAACGGGAGGTTTGGGGTACGCAAGTGCATGCGGAGGCATGGGCAGGAGTCCGCCAGGTTGTTCACCGCATAATACCCTGCCGCATCAGTCTTCTCCTGTATCCGTCAATCCATTTGCGACACATCAGCTGCAGGGTCAGGTAAAATGTGATAATCATCTAATTGCAAACAAATTTTTCTTATTTTCTGAATATAATTTTTGCATAAACTTATATAGGCTTCCCTCTTAAACTGCCACGAAGTACACTGCAAGATTGACTTCTTGCTGTTTCATCAGGTCGTTATTGCATCTATTGGAAAGTCTCCCTACACTGCGCTTGCCAGTAAGAGGCTACCACCTGAGAATCATTCTTTGCTATCGGCTGTTAGTTGTAGCTGTGTGTCCCTTCCCTTCAGCTTCTAGCTTCTTCTGTCAGTTACTCGTAAGATAACTATAACGAATATCCTTGTTACGGGTTATACCACGTAGAGAAATCCCGAGCTCTATAGTCTTTTCTCAACCTAACCGAACGACAGCTTCCTCAATTCTTCTTTTTTTCAATACTACTTTAAAATTTTATAACGTATACGAAAATAACACAGAAGTACAACAATTAAAAATAAATGAAAATGTTTAAAAGAAAATATAAATCGACCACAATATATTTGCGCTAACGTATTAACAAACTCTTGGTTTAATAATTCATTTATCTATAGTATTGTTTCGAAAAATAAATAAATAAATAAAACGAAGGTATAAATAAGTAGCTGGTGTTTGCATTCACCGTGATCGTAATCATTTAAAAACCCTTATTTGCTTGTAAGTTTTTAGAACCAGAATTTTTTAAATTGTAAGAATAAGGATATCATTATTAACAACTTTACAAAAAACTGTGTTGATTTCAGATTTTAGTGATTTCAGACTTATTAATTAGTAAATAAGATAAGGTGGCTTATGACCGTGCTTCGTGGCATTCCTTGGGGTTCGCCTATGTTCAACATAGCACTTGTGAAGGGCTATAATGATTATGATGATAAAGTCGGATAAATGAACATACTGCCTTGCAATATGAGTGGTCCATGTCCAGTAGTAATGAGCGGTTACGTTGAAAATGTAGATGTAGATGTTACTTGAATAATAAAAAATTTCTAATGTTGGAATTGGACCCGAATAATGGCTCTTTTGCAGTTTCATATATAAAAATGTTGTATAAGGAGTCATTTAGTATAATATGATTAATTAGCGTTGAAATTTTATTAAATCGGTTTGGTAATTAATTTAGTGAGTGCACAAATACAAGTATTTTAATTTCCTTTTATATAAACAATGAAATTACCACGAACAATAACAATGGCAGTTCTTAACTAGAAATACTTAATTTTGATATTGCCACTACTTCATTCTTTTATGAGGCTTTATCTTTATAATTTTGTTTCATATAATTTTAATGAATCTTAAAACTCTTGCACGAATCGCGATAAGAAGCCGCGTTATTTTCATTTCAGCACCTAATCAAACCAAGATTAAAATTTTAGTGGTGCATAAGCAATAAAATCGCGTGCTTGCAAATTGGCGTAATGACTACTTAATTCATTTACTGTGGCCATAAACTAACCATTGAACTGTTTACTAGCTGAAATGTCTGATTTTTAATTTAAATGTACAATTCTAGTTCTTAAAAATATTAAAAACAAGAGAAAGTCTGTTATACAACCTTTATATTGTTTTACGTTATTTCCGCTTATTTATTTCTTTTTTGGATTTCACAGTTAAATTATAATAATATCAAATTTAAAAAATCTCAAACAACACGCGTTGATCATAAGGCGTGATGATCCTAATGAAAATACTAGTTTATAGTCATAAATAACATTATTGTTTTGTCATCGGTACTTAATATGTCTGCAAAATTTCTGAAAATTAAGAGGTCTGGGAGTGAGTTAAAACTAAATTGCAAAATTAAATTACATTCGTACATACAGGTTGAACCAGTAAAATAAGCTTGTAAGAAATACGAATAGAAAAAAAATTTCAAGATAGATTATAAATAATACTTATTGAATGTCACTCTTAATGTTTAATTTACAACTTGTTCGGAAATACATCTGTCCAGGGAAGAACCAGCGAAAACCCCAACAGAATATTTATTTTTTGAAAAAAAAAAGGACCTGTTTACAATCATAAATTAACACATTTATATCAATCATTTATAATTACACAATTAACTACAAAAAATAAAACAAATTAGAAATAGCTTGGTAGCGATAACCTCATTCCCACGGTTTACATTTTAAGAAAACGCTGTGAATATGAAAATATAGTTGGATCATCCTAATGAGAATACTAGGTCGTACTCATTAAACATTTTGTATTTGTCATCGGTTCTTACAACGTCGTTCAAAATTTCAGATATTCAGACGTTTTCAAGTGGGTGAAAACTGAATTAACAAATTTAATTATATTCATACATACATACGTAGATGTAGCCAAGCTAATAAGCGTGTAAAAATCAAAGCCTAAGAAATGACGGTTACAAAGTATATATATATATATATTACATTTGGAATTTAAAATAATAAAATAATTTTATAAGGCTTTCGTATTAAAGTTATTGTGAGTTCAATGTAGTTTTACGTTCCAGCGTCTTATGGCTACAGCAGGAATGGGTCGGCTTCACCGGGGAAGGACCACGTTCGCATAGAATAGACCCTTTAAAGTGATCTAGGAGGGCAATAGCCGCCACATGCGTCATACTTGTAAACGGATGTAACTTACTAGTCTGCTTGGGCTGTGTTGCAAACAGACCACCACTGAAGACCAGTTTATTTGCTTAGATTTTGCTTAATTTTTATTGTTGTGTAATTTTATTTAAGAACATATTTTAATAATCTATGTGTCTATTGATTTTATTTTTGATTAAGAATATGTCTAGAAATCTGTTCACCTTTTGTCAACAGATTTTAAGACATATTCTTAAGGATCCCTTCAAAGTTTCTTTTACCGTTTCTTCTCCGGGCAAAGTTATCTCATTTAGAAAGATAGTTGATTAAAAACATTTTTGATGTATGACAAACGAAATTTAAATTTCTCACGTAGATACAGAGGTATTATTTTATTTTTATTTCATTTTTGCATTTTGATTATAAATGGGGTATAGATGTAGGTTGTATATGGGCTACAGTAAAGTTTCTGATCATTAGGTGGTCTGTATGCCCGATTGTAACCCTTATTTTTTATTTATTCACTACATTTTTTTATTATTTTGAGCTGTTTAGGAAAATGCTGCTGCCCACCTGTTCCTGTTTCTGTTTTCTTCTGTCGCCTCTGATGACACTCATGGAATGATACAGCGAAATTAATTATATTACGCCGCTGCTACACGGCAGAAACTAGCAAAGTATAAAAGCTGAAAACGACATCTAAAATTGAATTATTAAGCTTCATTATCCAGTGCGAGGGCATTGTTTTTTGCGCTCATCTACCCGCCTAGCTAGCATGGTCTGTGTGGGCAATTCTTCAAGGGATGTAAACGTTTGTGTGACGAAAAGGAATACCATTTAAAAAAAGTTAAAGTTACAGCCTATATACTTCCCACTGCTGGGCACAGGCCTCTCTCATTTCTGAGGGGGTTTTAGGGCAAGGAAATGACCGCCGCGCTACCCCAATGCGTGTTGACGAACTTCACATGTCTGCGAATTTATTTTCTTATTTCTCAGACATGTAGGTTTCCTCACGATGTATTCCTTCACCGCCGAGCACGTGGTAAATCAGCAGAATACCAGTTGGTGCCTTCTTTATAATATATTGAGGAAACAAGTAAAATTACAGCCTATATTTCTGTGAGTGTTTCAGGGTAAGGAAGTATCCAACGTTATGTCCTGATTTGCGGGTTGGCAGACTTCATATGTCTTTGATTTTTTTTTATTTCTCTCACATGCACATGTTAAATTCAGCACTCAAAATTGCAATTAACAATTTCTTTGATAGTGGCGGGCACATAATATTTTTTTTTTTTTTTATAGGATAAGGGTGACAAACGAGCACACAGTCCACATGATGGTAAGTGGTTGCTGCGGCCCATAAACATCTACATCTATCCTCTATTACAAATCAAAATGTAGATGCGTTGTCACCCGTGAGGACTAAGATGGAATGCCTCATTTCCAGTAAAAAGGGCCTCCGGCCACCTGCACTCACCAAGCGAAACGCAGAGGTAAACCTCTACTTCACGCTGGTTTTCTGTGAGGTCGTGGTACCACCCCGGTTCGAGCCGGCCCATCCGTGCGACAGCAATTCTGCCGCGTAGCTCTACCACTGTTACAATATATCGGGTTTCTCGCGTTTTATGATATTTACCTACGGCATGCGATTAGCCACTGAGCTACCACGGTTCTCTGGCTCAGTTTAAGGAAAATATGATAGAAACTAAATTAGATTTTTTCTTTTCTAGCTTCAGAGCCCTTTACAACCTATGCAGTCAATGTCGATGAATTCTTATAACCCAATAGGCGTTACTCTAGGTGAGTTGATGAAAATATCATTACACTTTGACATTTTTTGACTTTAAATTAATGTATTTCTAGACGTGATAGTTTATGTATGTCTACATAAACTATCACGTCTGTCACATACACGCTCGTCGATTAAGGATACATTTAATTTGGCTTCAGTATATCGCCAATAAACTGTCGTCGATAAACTGTATTTAATTTGAATAAATTTCGAGAACAAATTATATATAACGCCTATTATCTTAAATTAATTTTAAGAAAATGTTTATTATTTTTACCATGTTTTTGTTAAGTCACTTTCTTGTTTGTCTGTCGTTGCGGATGGAATTTAGTAATTGATTTTATATTGACTTTCCGATGAGCTGGAAACTTGAAGTTATGAATGTAACTCAAATTCGGTGACAATGCAAGAATACGTATAAAAAGCGGTATTTTTTTTTTATTTAAAAAAAAGTTCGCTAGTTATAATTCTGCATTAAAATAACCTATGATTTGTATGTTGGTAGCGCGTTATATTATATTTATTTAACTTTTCGTACTCTTAAATTAACTTCATAATGGAATGATAGGTATACTATTTCTCATCTTCTCTGTCAGTCTCTACCGCATGCTTCATCCAACGATAGACTGGTAGAGAATCCGCTATAATTCTATTAGCCTACGCACAGTTTCTTGTGTATTATGTATAGAGTATGAATAAATAAACAAAAATGCCCTCATTAAGGCAGCGATAGTTGGACGGAACCGTCTTAATAAATCCACCTATCTCGTTATGTGGGTGTCGCAAAAATTCCAAAAGCATATTATAATTATAACTGTTGACAAAGGGCAGAATTCTTTTCTGAAAATTGCCAATGGCTTTATCTGCCTGAGTCCATTAATAATTCCTCAAATTTACGATACCCGTGGGATGAGATGGGTTTTTTTGGATTCAGTTACAGCACCACCGCACGACAATTTTCGTTCGTAACTGCAGATATTTATTGTTATTTACAGATGGTTCGCCAAGTCCCGGCCCGGGTTATGCACCTCCAGGAGGGTTTTCTCCAAATAGACACCACGACATTGTCACTTCTTCTGATGCGGCCGCGTCCAGATTCTCATTCTGGCCTGAAGGTAATTTCTCAGTAAATTAATATTCATGTCATCTCGTAGATGTCGTTAGAAGCCACAGAGGGGAATGAAACAGGAGATGGCAACTTTACCTTCCTGATTAAAACTCAAAATAATAAAAAACTGCTGTTGCTAACCCGTCTGCCAAACGTGGCCACTATGGCAAATATCCTACCTAAGAGTCCTATACGGGGAGTCCTATGTTTGGCAGTGAACTTTTGGCTAGGCCGTAATGAATTAATAAATTGATTCTTGCCTTGATTCATACCAAATAACTCGTAGTTGACCGTTGTTTAATGTGTCTTGCAGTGTTTTATTTGTATTCGTTTTTCGTATTGTGTTTTTTTTTGTGTTTATTACAGCCTTCAAATGTACTATATCTGGTAGATATGGAGGCTGTGATATATACACTGACTGATTTATTAACAAAAAGTTTTTAATCTATCGGAAGGGCTAATTCGCTCTTGCTCTAAGCATGCAGTTTGACGAAGTGAATCTTGGTATATTAAAAGTAACTGGTTTAAAGTGAACAATACGCTTTCGAACGGAAATACAATAAATTAATGTATTCATTTTCAAGATACGATCTTTAAAGGAGTAGAGTAAAGATTAGATATCTTACTTTTTTATTTCTATAGCGTAATGTTATATGAAGTTTTACTATCGGAAAATGAGACTGAAATTGAATATCTTAGTTTTGCAGAGGAGAGCCATAAGAGCAATTATTTTTAACCTTAATTCGAAGCAGTGTTAGGAATAAAAAGAAATAAATATATTGAATTTGGCATTTCCATGTATATACGAAAATTTTATGTATTTTAAGTGTACACAAAAACCAAATTAAAATTTATAATATGGTCATGCACCTTTTATAAATATATCTACCTACCTGTATTTAGGAGATAGGACTGTATCTCCTACAGGTTACTAAGTTATACCTAGCTAGGAGACTCAGGATTCTACCCATTTCAAATTGGTCCTCGTGAATTATATGTGTATTGTACCTACACATATCATTCTATAATTGTGCATATATATTTGTTAAAAGTATGTAAACTGTAAAAAACGTCATTAAAGATTTATTATTTTTATTATATTAAAATTAAAGACAAGTATTTATAAATAAATTGTATTGTACCTTTTATAAATATGTACCTACTAGGACAACAAGCAATAGGTGACGAGAACATGTGTTGTAATCTCCAAAACGTCTATTGAACTTTTGGCTGAAGTTGGACTTACCTAGTTGGACCATTTGACCTAGGTAAACACACTCGTGAACAACTTCGAGGATAGTGTGTGTGTTCTCAACGACTAGCAGCATGTGTGTGAAATGGAAGTTATATATGACCTTTGTTCATGTTTATCTTAAGATCTATCCATTAGGAGACACTATTGCGATCTCAGAGCATAGTGTTAAGGTCCACTAGCAATTCATGATGTCAATAACTATATCGTCGGGAAAACAAAAGTTACTTGCCATTAATGTTAATACCGTATCCTTTCCAGTCCAGTAGTGTTAAGACGGTAAAAATGCGTCATTGAAGAGTTACGGAGATATAAACCCTATCTTACACCTTACTCTGCAGTGGGATAGGTTTTATAATATGGTTCTGTCCTAGGGGACCTTCGTAGCCTTATTTTTGAAGCACTTTAGCACTTTTATATACCGACAGCCAATCTGGCACCACTCAAGAGACTTGTCGATGTTTCGGGTAACACTGCCATCATCATCATCATCATCATTATTATAGCCCTTTACAAGTCCACTGAACATAGGCCTCCCCCAAGGAATGCTACAAAGTATGGCCCTGAGCCACCTGCATCCATCGCCTTCCTGCGTATCTTACCAGGTCGTCAGTTGCCACTTCATTTAGTGGGGGGATGCCCTATAATTCGTCTACCGGTACGAGGATACTACACGAGCACCTCTCTTCCCCATCAGTTGTCGGTTCTTTGAGCTAATATGGCCGGCCCATTTAGCTTGAAGAACTCCAGTTTACTGATCCGTTGGGCTATGTCGGTTACTCTGGTTCTACTGCAGATATCCTCATTTCTAAGTTTATTTCTCAGAGAAACCCCGAAAATAGCCGTCTCCATAGATCGCTGATCGATCTTGAGCTTCCTCATACGGGCAGTAGTGAAGGACCACGTCTCAGAACCATAAGTCGTCACTGGCAACACGCATTGTTTGTACAATCTTGTTTTCAAGTTTTGAGGTATACCTGACGAGAAGATGTGCCGCAATCTCCCGAACGCTGCCATTCCGAGTTGAATCCTCTCGGTCGAACGCAAACATTCTCGTCACCAAATTCAAGCTTAGTGCTCCCAACAACTACCGGCATAGGTGTGACGTGGACGTTAAACATAACCTTTCTTTTGGTCATGTTCATCTTAAGACCTATCTTCTGTATGGTCTAATCTTTAAAATGGCTGAATCGAACGTGATGAAACTTAAGACACAGATAGAGAGTAATATGCCAGGGGTGAAAAGGCGCAGTAAGGTCAGGTACAAAATATTTTTGCCGATCAACATGCAGATTTTTTGTGTTTCAAAAAAAATTATTAAATTTTGATGATTATTCATAGACCATGATTATATATTAAAATATATCAAACGAAATGTATTTGTTTACAATTTACTTTAAAAAAAGCTTATCACACTTTATTTTCTATTGTCTTAAAGTTTTGATGCAAAAACTATTTTTTTTTTTTAGTTTAGTGTAAAAGTCAGTAATCCGAACAGACTAGCCAGTCGAGCCTTAGGTTGAGCCTCACTTTAGGGTAAAAAGGCCGGCCCTTACACCTTAACTTATTAAGGATTTTGTGTCCTTAGTTTTAAAATAATAAACATTATTGTTTGTAAATCCAGGCTTTTTGATCTGAGTCTGAACTTCAAATGAAATAACGACTAGGTTTAATAAATCGTTTTTTTTCTTCATATTGTAATTCCAAACATAATTGCGTTTTGCGTCATGTCATGGCTCGCTAGAGATAGTGCGGAGCGGGGTGAGGTGGTAATCGTAGAAACAAAGGCGATGCTCGCTCGCTCAACCGGCCGCGTGACTGGTAAAATGCAAAAAGCCAAAAAAGCCGGACAGATCGGTCACCATCTAATTTGTTCGGATACGTATCCAAAACCTAACTATGTCCGGTTTTATCCGAACGTCGGCAACTCTATCTATGGTCCACATAAAATACTAACAAATTGAGCGTTCAGGTATCCACGTAACCAGGGGAAAGTTAATGATTAAAATTTCACCAGCGCCATCTACCCATACAAGATTATACTTGAGTGAATTTGATGGTTCAAACCCTAGCTCAAGGAGCGTTGTTGGCTAAGAATTTTGTTACGTACTGGACATGCCGTAGATATTTTAATATGTTAATGAATCTTGGATAATTTCTGCACATTTTTATTCAATTAATAATTGATTTCACTTTCTGCTGACCATGAAGTTGGTGTTAAAATATTTAGTGAATGAATAATATTCTCCATATCACTAAGTTAAAAAATCATAGAATTAAAATAAGTATGATAAATTGTTTGTTTGTAAAATTACTATTAAATTTTATTGCATGACAAACAAATCGTCTTGCAGAGACATCTGTTTAAAAACCATGTAGGAATTTGAACTAAGGTATACGTAATGTCCCTACACATTCAACCTTAGCTTAAGTTACACAAAAACGTCCGTAGAGGACTCTGTGAAATATTCTATTAAATATCTCTAACTACAAAAAATTATACATAATACATAAACACTCACGCCTGTCACCCAGTGGAGTAGGCAGAGACTACGGACTTCCATTTGGCACGATCCTGGCACACCTCTCTCGCCTCGTCCACATCCATATACCTATTCTTAATTTGGTCCATTTTTAAAATATCGCCAATTTGGTCGTGAAACTTTCGGACGTTCCTTCTCGACTCTGCCGTTTACTTTTGCAACATACAAAACACTTACGCCTGTCACCCAATGGAGTAGGCAGAGACTACGGACTTCCATTTGGCACGATCCTGGCACACCTCTCTCGTCTCGTCCACATCCATATACCTTTTTCACGTGGTAGAGCCATGCTGCAGCTATATTAGTAGTATAGTTGTAGCAGGAATGGGTCGGCTCGACCGGGGAAGGACCACGCTCTCACAGAAAACCAGCGTAAAATAGCAGCTTAACACTGTTGTGTTTCGTATGGTGAGTGTAGAGAACCGGAGACCCTTATTACTGGCAAAGAGGCATTCCATCTTAGTCCTCACGGGTGGCAACGCATTTGCATCTTGAGTCTTTATTGATGATAGATGTAAATGTCTATGGGTGTCACAGTAACCACTTACCATCAGGTGGACTGTGTGCTTAATTTGGTCCATTTTCAAAATATCGCCAATTTGGTCGTGAAACTTTCGGACGTCCCTTCTCGACTCTGCCGTTTACTTTTGCAACATACATTTGCTTTGTCAGTCTTTCCTCATACATTGTTTCTACATGACCAAACCACCGAAGCATTCCTTTCTTAATCCTTGCAAACTACTGTGGCCGGTGGAAGGAAAAGGGGAGATCTCCCGCCGGGCAAGGTGTTCTGCCCGGGGTGCGGCCAACGCTCTGATTGGTAGTTCAGAGCTATTCTATATATGCTGCTTTATATTCATAACTTTGTTAGTGCGATTTAGGCTTCGATGTGTTTGGCTTGTGGCGCGACGTCAGCGCCGCCACATCACCCCCCTGCTCAGACCGGAGGTGGATAGTGCAGTCCGATTGCCGGTGCGTCCTTAATGCTGGTGGGGAATGCATGCTGTGTGCGTAAGGGCAAATGACGCCGGTGCGAACGATATACCGGTGTGTAATGCATGCCGTAGTTACGCACTTGCAAGTGGTGCCGGTGAGAACGATGAGCCGGAGCAAGTGCCAGGGATTGCTTTGTAGTCTGCGGTGAGTAGAGAAGAAGGCAAGTGATCTGCGAGAGTGCCGTGAAGCATAGGCGAGCAGTAAGGCTCTGAGCCA